TGGAGCTGCAAGGCCGGCGGCAGCAGCCGGGACTGTTGGGGGCGGGGTGTGTGGCCTTATGACACACTTCCGGTGATGTCAGGGGGGTGGCATATGCTAATGAGTTATGCTAATGAGTTCCCCTAGCTCTTTTTCTACGAAACGACCCCTGACAACAGCCAATACTTTTTTCTCAGTATGGGGGCAATGACCAACATGACCAACATACTCTCTTGCGGCCTTGAGGAATTCTAATGCCTACTTTTCCCACCAAACTTTTCAGTGTTATTCCCCCCAACCACTAAATTGTTTTCCTGTGATTCTATTCTGTTTTTATTGTACACCCTAAACAGTATTTTTAAACGTTTTCTGTTTTTCTTGCATACTTTTTAATATATTGTTGTAAGCTGCCCGGGGGCACTACAGACCAGAAAGCAGGGTAGAAATCTTTTACTAAATATATACACATAAGCCAGATTTGAACATATGGGAGAAACAGTGCTGTTTGGAAAAATCAGGTAGACCACGTCAGTTTTGCTACTCCCAGGGAATTCCAAAACAAAAAGCTATGTAATACCTTTGAAGTTCTCCAGAACTCTTCAACAGGCTGGATGAAGGGGCAGGGGGACTTATTTAGGGTTGCCAAGTCGCGGCAAGGGATCATGTGTCTTTGCAGAATCCGTGCCGCGGGGACGGCGAGACGCATTGCTCCCGCCGTCGCCAGGACATGACGCTACGCGTCGCTCTGGCAACGGGGCTGTTTGGAGCCCCGTTGCCCCGCGATTTGGCGAGATTTGGGAGCCCTAGACTTATTTCAGGCCATGGCGTTTGTCCGCAAATAAAGAGGTCTGAAAGATGAGCCCTCCTGTTGTCCGTCCTCCCTCCCCATTTTTAAGAATCAGCCTGATGAAGAGCTCTGGAGAAGGTAACAGCTTGAGCACCGTGTCGTGTTACTCTGGCAGGTCTTAACAAAAAAGGTACTACATGGATTTGGATGTTGCTATGGACCAACGTGCCCTGACCTAGATGGCCCTGGCAAGCCCGATCTTGTCATATCTCAGAAGCTAAGCAGGGTCAGCCCTGGTTAGGACTTGGATGGGAGACCACCAAGGAAGTTCGGGGTCGCTAGGCAACGCCAGAAAACGGCAAACCGCCTCTCTTTGTCTCATGCCTTAAAAACCCTACGGGACTGCTGCAAGTCAACTGTGACTTGACAGCACTTACCAACACGACTGCCTACATTTTCCTCCCTTTTAGGGCGCTGCATCACTTTAAAAGGACTAGAGGCACACAATTGTACCTTAAAGTCTTCACCAAACCAGCAAGGGAGGCCCAGCAGATACACTGTTCCTCAAGAGCAGATGCTTGAAGGACAAGTGCCCAGAGTGAGGTCCAAAACGGGCACAGATGGATTTAGGAAATCTATGCACCTCTGTCTTAAAACCCGAATATGAGTGGCATGGGATGCATGCCTGACAGCACAACCCCATGTAGAGTCACTCCAGTCTAAGCCCATTGATTTCCCACGTATTTCTTTCACTAAAAGCCAGAAACAGCACAGAACTTGAATAGCAAGGAATTCTTGTGCGAGAAGGAAGGTGCTCACCTCTACCATCACAGCTGAGTTCCCTTCTTTCAGCAGCCCAATCAGACCTTCTTTCGTCTTCCGCCCCTCCAGTTTGGAAGCTTTGCTCCATCCTTCCTTCTGAGCTTGCTCATGAAGCCAGGCTTCAGCCTTGGAAACACAAACCCCCAGAAGTGAGACCACAACAGGCCTATAGCTACATGGGGCTGGGTGTGTGTGTGTTCCTGCCCCCCCCTTTTAAAGGTACAGCCCCACAAGAATTTCTCCTGTAAATACTTTTTTCAGTCATTTGTAAACATTTATCAAAAGCCATGCACTCCTTTAAGCAGAGTGGGGTACTGTAGTTGACTAATTCCCGCACTGAGCAAGGGGGTTGAAGTAGGTGACCTCTAGGACCCCTTCTAACTTTGTGTCACGAAACTGGTCTCCTTTAAGAGAGTTTTTCTGCCTAAGTGTTAGCTTTCTTGACTATAGAAGTCGTCACCCCCACATGCTGGCTTGTGATCAGAATTGTTGCTTAGGCTGGCAGAAGTGATTAACTTGCAGCAGCTGAGAATTGTCCTCTAAAGTGGTTGACCGCTTGCAATTTAGAGACCTACCCTGGTAGCAGCTTTCTATTGGCTAAATGGCTTTCCTTTCCTGCGCTGAGAACTTCAGCCCCACAAGCCACAAAATCCTGGTTACGGGCCTGGACCACATGGCTCAGAGACAACGCAAAGAACCAGGTCAGTCATTCAACAAAGTGGCACTATTCCCTGGAGTGGATAACTTCATTATTCTCTTGCAAAAGATTGCATTCTTAACATGAGACCCAAACAGCATCCCCGTGTCTTGCCAGGCATCAACACCAAGGCTCACCTCCTTGAGGTCTCCATTGAACTTCTCCAAGGCTTTCTTGCAGTTAACAAATGAGTAGCCGGTTTTCTTCCTCAGCTTTACCAAAAGTTCTTTCGCTGCCAGAACCGGAAGGCCAGTGTGAAGAAAGCGGGACAGCTGGCAGCCAAGGAACTACCAGGGGGGAAAACACAAGAAACACAAAGTATAAAATTCTAAGAGAGACATCACTTCTTACAGCCAAATGATGTGGCCAATTTACGAAGTGATCCTAGGAGTTAAGCTTGGCTACATCATCCCATGTGAGACTGGCACCATTTTCAACCTACATATCTGCGAGACATTTCATGCAGGATGCTTACGAGACAAGGCTTCAAAATCATGGCCTGTGATGTCTCCCCCCACCATCATTATTTTTTTTTTAAATCCAGGCTGACAAAGAGTGAATGAAGAGAGAACTCAAAAGCTTGCACACTAGTCTGTGCCATTTTGGCTAATCCCAATAAAGTTTGCTTTGGATTACCTACAACCTCATGCATAGCGATAGGGATCAGGCCATCGTTTCTTCTCTAAATATCTTCTGATAGATATCTATGAGAGGAAGTGACCTAGCAGTCCTGCTTCACGTTATGGCCTCCAGCTACAAAGAACAGGACTAGAAGGTACCACAAGTTTGATCACGTACATATACCCAACAGGGGTATGTGTTTGTCAACTTTTAAGACTTTTCAATAACAGATCGTTTCAGAGGGTGGCCAGGTTGGTCTGCAACACAACAGCTAGGTCTGACGAAGGGAGCTTTGACTCTCAAAAGCTTATACCTCAGAAATCAAGTTGGTCTCTTAAGGTGCTAAAGGTAAAGGTTCCCTTGCTCGAAAGCCAGTCGAGTCTGACTCTAGGGCTGCGGTGCTCATCTCTGTTTCAAAGCCGAAGAGCCAGCGCTGTCCGAAGACATTTCCGTGGTCATGTGGCCAGCATGACTAAACACCGAGGTGCACGGAACGCTGTTACCTTCCCACTGAAGTGGTACCTATTTATCTACTTGCAATTTCTTGCTTTCGAACTGCTAGGTTGGCAGGAGTCTTAAGGTGCTACTGGACTCTAATTTAGCTGTTCAATAGCAGAGGTTCCAGAACCCCTAACGCAGACCGCAGGAAAAGAAATGAAAAATAGCAGTTGCAAATAAATGGGTCGGTCAAAATTCCAAGAGAAAATAAGAAATTTAAACAAAATTCCAACTGGCTAATGTGAACAACTAATAGAACAGAACTGAAATCCAAGGGAAATGTACCACTGCCTTTTCCTGGGGGGTCCAGAAAAATGATAAAGGCAGAGTATAAAGGTTTTCAGTCTTGCTTCAACTGGGAAACCAAATGAACTCATCTCAGAGGAACCCCTACTCATTTGCCAAGGTGCGCTTCAAGGTTGGGAAATGTTCTAAATCAGACATTTGGTTCAACTGGGGTACCGGCTGGACCTCACCGCTAGTCCATATAACTGAGGACAAAGCCCAAAACACAGCCAACGTATTGTAGGAGAAGATGGCTGACAGTGGGCAAGCTGTCTCTTAGTACAATCTGTCTGCCATTAGTGGTCTTTTAACTGAGGAATCCTTGATAACTGCCAAAAGACACCAGGGAGCCATGGAATACAGCTTGCAAAGCACCTGTGTGTTGTGGGTTGCATGTGAGAGACCCAGGTTAAAGTCCCTGCTCAACCACAGGGTTCACAAGCTCACTCACTCTCAGACTGGCCTACCTAAGCAGCATGGTGTAGTGGTTAAGAGCAGCAGACTCAAATCTGGAAAACTGAGTTTGATTCCCCACTCTACCACATGAAGCTTGTGGGTGACTTCAGGCCATTCACCGTTCTCTCAGAACTCTCTCACCCCACCTGTCTCACAAGGTGCTTGTTGTGAGGATAAAATTGGGGCTGGTGAAGAAGGAGGAAGAGAAACTCTGTACCTCCCCTTGAAATACGCTTGAGGCAGGGCAAGATACAAATGTGATAGTTCAGACATTTATAAAGTATTGCACAAAACGCTTCCTGTTCTAGTGGAAGAGTTGCCAACTTGCTCGTTTTTACTGGACACCACCAGCTCTATGCTCTTCATAGCTGACTCACAGGCAGAAGTCAAACAGGTGAAGTTTTCCCCCACCACATGCAGAGACACTTCACTTATTTGGCTTCCACTTGCAATCCAACTGCTAAAGGCATTGACCATAAAACCTAAAAAGGTTATAAAGAAGGAAGTCAAGGACACAGCACACACGTGGGAGACTCAAGGGGAAAGAAAGAATCCACTGCGCAGGGAATCAACGCGATCTCTGAGAATCTGGGTAGCCCCAGAACGGCGGCATAACAAAGGGCACGTCCCGCCCCTGCCCCTCACCTGCACAACTGAAACACTCCCCTCCGAAGGGAAAACCAAGGACCTTCCCAGCCCAGCCATCCGCTGCATCTTTAAGGCGCTCGCATTTGGCGTCACACCTTTTCTGGGACCCGACTGCGCGAGTCCCGACAGTCTTTGGTTGAACTTGTACACGTGATGAGACACACCCACACGAGTCATAGATGCGCCCTGCTTCCTATTGGATTTCCGATTTCATATCATGCTAAAAAGCGGGCTAAGGAGCTCCTAGTTGAATTAGGTTGCTGCAATCCAAGGTGGATTTCTTTGGGGGGCGGGTCACATTTCTTTTGCGCTAAATCTCAAACAGACACCGCTAGAAAATGCAGCATTTTTAAAATGCCTTTTAACACTCCTACTTGTTATTAACTAAAAGTGTATTGAAAGTTGATTCCTTTGAAATGTGATGTTGGAGGGAGTTTTACGGATCCCGTGGACCACCAAAAAGACAAACGAGTGGGTTATAGATCGAATTAAGCCTGAACTCTCCCTAGAAGTTAAAAATGACTAAACTGAGGCTGATCAAGATGGGTAGCCGGTGTCAGTAAGAGTCCGGTATCTGAGGAAGCGAGCAGTGACTCACGAAAGCATACCCTGCCACATATTGTGTTAGTCTTTAAGGTGTTACTGGAGTCTTGCTCTTTTCTACTAAACTGAGCCTATCATGCTTTGGTCATATTATGAGAAGACACTGGAAGAGACAATAATGCTAGAAAGAGTTGAAGGCAGCAGGAAAAGAAGACCCAACATGAGATGGTTGGACTCAATCAAGGAAGCCACGAAGGCCCTCAGTTTCCAAGACCTGAGCAAGGCTGTTAACAAATTAATTGAATTGCGTATGGCAGTGTGTGCAGTATAGCCAGGCGACTCTAAGACTGTCTGGCAGCTAAAAGTTCTAGTTCTTTTAGCATTATGCTAGGTGGCGAGCTAGACTTTTTTTTAAAGGCAAGAGATGTTTCAGAGGTGGTTTGCCATTGCCTGCCTCTGCATCCTGGCCCTGGTATTTGTTGGAGGTCTCCCATCCAAGTACTAGCCAGGGCTGACCCTGCTTAGCTTCTGAGATCTGTTGAGACTGGGATAGCCTGGACTATCCAGGTGAGGGCAAGGCTGTTAACGATAGGATGTTTTGGAGAACATTAATTCATAGGGTTGCCAGAAGTCGGAAACAACTTGTCGGCACTTAACACACTATGGGTGCGTTCAGACGGGGCGTTTCTGCCGGCATAAACGCGATCACACTTACCTCCATCTTCCGGATCCCTCCGTTGGACGCCCGCTCACACGCTGCGGGCGTCGGCGTTTTGTTTTTTTTAAAGCACAGTTTGAGCATGCGCATAGGCAGCCATTCAGAGAATGGCGATCTTTGCGCATGCTCAACCCCCCCCTTTAAGTTTAAAGCCCAACCTGGCCTCCCTGTAGTCCCGGACTCCTCCGGGAAGTTAAACTAAGGGCTTTAAAAAACAACAACAACAAAAAACGCTCAGGCGAAGCTTCGCCCGAGCGCATATCACTTCCTTTTTTTAAAAAAAATGGCAGGGGAAAGCCGGAAGCCTCAGGCTTCCGATGGAAGTATCTCTGCAACGTTGGAGAGCAATCAGACGCCGGGATAAACCAGAAGCCACCGTTGCACTCAGTATACCACCATTTGGGACCTGGTGGCAGAGTGCAACGGTGTAGAGGGCTTTACACCGGTTAGGGAGAGGAGGCAGATGTGCCCCGTCTGAACGCCGGTGAGTACAATGGTTGGAACCGGCACCCTAACCGGTATAAAGCCCCCGTCTGAACGTACCCACAGAGGGAGAACTTCCATGGCAATAGTTCTAAGCCGCGCTCTCAGCTCCCCCCCCCCCCTCCAGGATAACATGAACTTGCCTTACAAGACCATTAGTCCGTCAAGGTCTGTGCGGCAGCTCTTAGGCAAAGGTCTTTTGCATAACCTGCTACCTGATCTTTCATACCTGGAGACCCTCTCCCATGGACTACACTGCAGCCTTGCAGTTAGCCGCACTCACTCTCAATCTCCCTTCCCCATTACTAGAGGCTGATAGCCATGTACTGCATTGCATAGTTGTTGCATCCTCCCCCGCCCTTGAGCCTCGTTCCCATCTCCAACATGGTCTATGAAGAATGAGCTGCACTACGGGGTTGTCATAAACCAGTGTCTTGCTCTGCCACGCCTCCCCCACCATGGGACTAAATTTGCATAGTATTTTTTAAAAAGTGTTTAAATAATATGGGACTGTATTTGCATTAGTGTTCAAAGCCCGCTTTAAAGCTTTCCCCCCCTTAATCACGTAGTAAGATGTAAAAGTGCATCAACTTTGTTTCTGACTTCTTTGTTTCATTCGGATGACTCCATCCAAAGTCACTGGAATGACCTTGTCTCGACCCTACTCACCATAGCCCGCTTAACAATTGCTACTTGCTGGAAATCCCCAACAGCACCATCAATTATGGCCTGGCAGGACAAGCTATGGGATCACTTCATCATGGCTAAGATCTCTGACTCCCTCAACAGATTACAGACAACCGCACCACTCCCCTCCAAATTCGAGTCAACCTGGTACCCAGTTGTTTCTATCTACAGTCTGCAGACATTCTTCCCTCGAATCCTCTGTACCTTAAATGGCCAATTCTGTAGGGCTATTTTTCTTCCAACCAGGAAGGACAGCACCATTCCCTCATTCCACACTTAATACCAGATATTATTAACTGCATTTAGGTCACAGGTGTGAGGGACACCTTGTATGAAACTCTGTATCACATTTCTATATTTGGACTTACTGTGTTTTGTTTGAAATATTGTATGTTAGTTAAAAAAGAAATTAAAAAGACTTATTTAAAAAAAAAACACTTTGTTTCTGACGAATGAGTGATGATGATTGTTATACAAATTAATATCCAGTCAAAAATAGAAGATTGAAGTCAAAATGAGGAGGAAGATGTTGTATTTATTTGCAATCAAACATGGAAAACAGTTAGGCCAAAGGACCCATCAAAGTTGACTGCTTTCTGACCCCAATCAGGAAATACATGAAGTTAAATACTTAATATGACATCATCATATCATCATCATGAAAGTAATATTCAGAAGGCATAATTGGTTACAGAAAATTAAACATTTAAATGAAAATCTCATTGGTCAAATGTAAGAAAGGTGTGTGTATACAATAGTGTCCCATATTTACTTGACCTGACCTAAGTCGTATCGGCCAAGGCTTGTTTTCACCCAAACAAAGGTGTTTTTCTCTGATACCAAGTCAAAAATCCTTTTTGACCCAGACGCTATAAAGTTATAACCTAAACAATTAGAACCATGAACCTTCTACCTTCTTCTGTACCAAAAGAATGCTATTGTCTTGTCTGTTAGCATCAGCTGGAAAAATACCCTGACCTACAAGGAAGAGAGGCCTTCTATATAACAGGCCTTCATTACATCCCAATAAAATGTTATGTAAGAATAAATCTATAAAAACCAGAGAAATATGAATAATCAAAAAAGGAGAAAATCTTTATAGTCCCATCTCTACTACATGATGATGGATCTTGTTGCGGTTAAAATCCTCGCTGTTCGGGGGGCTCTTATAAGCAGCCATCATTTTTACCCCGCAAACGCAGAGAAAGGAAATGAACCCCTCCGCACTAGACACGTTGGAAGCCGGACTGTTCCTGGCTAATTTTGCCGCCAGTTTATGAATCACACAAGGAGACCCACCCCCTTGGAATATTTGCAGCGCCGCACAGCACTGCCCACAACAATTGGTTGTCGAGACAGTGAGAGACGCGGCACCAGTGATTAAGAAGAAGCTTAAACCCTTCCCTACTGTTAAATAAAGTAAAGGCAAAGGTTCCCTTGCTCGAAAGCCAGTCAGTTCCGACTCTAGGGTTGCGGTGCTCATCTCCGTGTGGCCGGCATGACTAAACACCAAGGCGCACGGAATGCTGTTACCTTTGTTGGAAGCCAGACTGTTCCTGGCTAATTTTGCCTCCAGTTTATGAATCACACAAGGAGACCCAACCCCTTGGAATATTTGCAGCGCCACACAGCACTGCCCACAACAATTGGTTGTCGAGACAGTGAGAGACGCGGCGCCAGTGATTAAGAAGGAGAAGCTTAACCCCTTCCCTACTGTTAAATAGGAAAACCCAAAAGACAGTCTCGAGACCCTACCTTCCATTAAGACCAGCCAACAAACAAAATAACATTGTTCCAGCTGTCGAGTTGCCAGACCTCTCCTTCAGGCTGCAGGTTCAAACAAAAAAACTATAAAATGAAGAGCGGGAAATATTATGTAAATCCTGTTAAAACCCGTATTGTGGGTCAATTCAAGCCTACACCTTTCCAGAGTAAAAAGACTTGCTTCCCGGAACAGCTTGGCAGGCGGCAGAAATTGGCCCATTGATGCTCTCCCTTCATATCACCTATTGTGCCAGGCAGGGCTATTTTTGGTCAGGAACGCACAGGAACGGAGTTCCGGCTGGCTTCAGAGTTGGCCACGCCCACTACAGCCAAAACCTCTGCGTGTGTGGCTACAGAGGGAAGGCCTGGAGAGTGACCCCCCCCCCACAGCCACTCTGAGGTGGGCGGGCCACGCGGGCAACCGGAATTGAAAGACCAGGCATATTTAGCACAGAGCGATCTCCGCCAAGCTTCAGATCGCCCCTAGCTTGCAAGCTTGGATACCTAAACAAAAGATGGGGGCACAATACACTCCTCAGCAATAGTCAAACTCCTCTTCCCTCCCCTGCTATCAAATCATATCATTTCCAGTGCTACATAAAAATTCTTAGCAATATCAACAGTAAACCCAACCCCCTAATCCGGTTCCCTGTCCAACTAACACACTCTCCCTTCATATCACCTGTTGTGCCAGGGAAAGCTCTCCCTGCTAAATATCTATAAGTAGGCTGCGGCCTTGGTCAATGCACGTAAATGGTGTCCCAAGACCTTACTACCCCAAGTTTTTTCATTACTAGATCAGCCCTGCAGATCTGTGTACAAAAAACTACAGTGTTCCCAAAGCTCATAAGAGTCCCACTTCATATTTCAGCCTTCATTTTTTTCTTGGCTACCTCTTAGACTCACCAGTGCGGACTGTGCTTTTGGGTTTCCAAGAGCCAACATCTCCTTGTGATGCAAACACCTGCAATTTCATTTTCACCTGGAATGGCAAGTTTGCATGTCTTTTTTTTTTGTTTGCTTTTCCCCTTCTCCAAACAGTATATTTTGCCAAACCCACCAACCCCCCTTAAAGTCACTGCCACATCTCTAGTATGCAGCACATGCTCTGCCACAGCATTCCAAATAAATGCTTGTTTACACTTTGCAGAGATGTTCCTTAAATTATGAAAGTTTTACTGTTCACATCCTGAACATACATCACAGAATCACCAGAGTTGCAAGGAGCCATAGAAGCCATCTAGTCCAACTGCCTGCACAGTGCAGGATTAACCTAAAAGCATCCCTGACATGTGTTTGTGCAGTGGCTGCTTGAAGACTGCCACTGAGAAGAAGAGACTGAAATTATACCCCACCCTTCACTCAGAGTCTCAGAACGGCTTACGATCTCCTTCCCCTCCCTGCCCCACCACAACAGACACCCTGTGAGGAAGGGGGGGCTGTTACCATGTGTGCTTTTAAATGTATTATTTATGCTGATGCTGTGTGTCTGTAAGATGTCTTTGCATGTGTGTATGTGGGATGTGGGAAATGCTGTGTCTTGGAGTTGCTTGCTTTGCATCTCATGCTTGCACCTGGAAGCTGCTAGGAGCAAGGCTTGTGCAGCCTATGCTAATGGACCTGTGCGCACCCACACCTTCCCAGCATGCCTTGGAATAAAGAAGACCTTCGCCATTAAGCTCAGCCTGGAGACTTGGAAAAACAACAGGTCTCCCACAGGTCTCCCACCATTGCAGGCCCTCTGGAATCGCACGTAACCCCCATCTATCTGGTTCTGCATCACAAGAAAACATCCTGTTATTGCCTTCTTGGATCAAGCCATCGATCTGCAAGTCAACGGTTGCCATGGGAATACAACTTTGACACCTTGCCACATGGCTCCCCATTGAAGTTAGGCTTAGAATTTGAATATTGCCCCACACCCCTCTAGGTAGGACGTCACAACCCTCCACCCTATAGGTATAGACAAGGGGACGGATTTTAAGTGTAGACTGGCCTTACGCCAACCCCCAAAACTATGTTCTAAAAAGAGAAACACAGCCTTTGTTTCTCTGTTGCTGGTTAACCCATCCTTCCTTATACTTTCACCTTTGCAAACTTAAGACTACTGCAGGTGATTCTAAGTGTTCCCTGGATCGCGTGACCAGGAGAGCCCACACGAGTTTTTGGGTGGTCCATACAGTGTGTTTTTAGAGTCCCTAAAGATAGTACTTATGTTCCTGATCCTTCTGCTGAGATCACCTGGAATCAGATAAGTATTATCGCTACCCCCCTGTGCCTCAACCCTGTGTTAGTTTGAATTTATTATTTTTCATATTTTTCATACTGAAATGCTTTCTATTTACTACTGTAACTAAAGGAATCTTGTGAGACTGAGTGTATGAATCTGTTTTTGTGTGTCTGAAATCAACTATTGTAGTAAAGACAACATTTATTCATCAAACCTTAGTGTGTTGTCTCTCTTATTGGGAAAAGGAGTGTTTGTTCTGATTAAAATCTCTGTATAAACAGATCACAAAGGACTCAGAATAAGCCCCCGTTGTATATAAAACGGATTTGGGCTAGGGGAACAATCCTCTTTCAAGAACAGCTCAGAAAGAACTTATGACTGACCTAAGGTCATCCAGCAGCTGCAAGTGGAGGATTGGGTAATCAAACCCAGTTCTCCCAGATTACAGTCTGCACCCTTAACCACTACACCAAACTGGCTGAAGGGAGCTCATCACCTCCCTAGGCAGCCAATTCCACTACTGAAGTACTCTTACCTTTCCGACCATAATTTAAACCCATTATTGTGAGTCCTGTTCTCTGCTGCCAGAGGAACATATACAGAAATATGCAGAGATTAAGATTTGGGAGGGCCCCAGTGAAGAAGGTGAAAGAAGAAAAGTGCATGAGACTTCGAGATCCCATAGGCTGCTGCCACCGACAGCTCACCATCACAGATATGGACAACAGGCCAGTTTCTTCTTAAGGCAGAGTGCAAAGCAATTTGCAGTACATTAAAGTACATTATTAAGTACGTTTTTTAGAGGATGAGAATGTTAAAGGTTGTTCTCGTTCCACAACTGCCCTGATCCATGTGCGTTCACCTCCTGCAATTCCTGAAGGGCACTATGACCAGAGCGAAGAAAGAGAACAAGGCTATACATCCCCCGCTTTTACTATTCTAGCACAGCTACGGCATTTCAGTACTAGCATTCACCCTTTCTTGAAAAGGGTAACATTGTTAGAGCGAATGTTGCACAGTGATTAAAACGTAATGGAAAGGCTCTTATTCAAATGTCAGCCTAACCCTGGAATTGACTTGGTAGTCTTAGGCAAACCATGCTTCTGCAGCTACATTCCCTTGTACAGGAATGCAAGATGACATTCACCCACCTACAAGGCTACTTAGGTACCAAAGTCTGGGGAGAAGCACTCTTTTGACTACTGTGTAGCTTTATGAGCAGTATAAGTGACATCAGATTGCCATTTTAAAGACGTTTCCGTTCTCATCAACAGAGCTGTACAAAACAGAGACCTTCCCTCAGCTGACAGTGATTTTTAAGTTCTCAAAACTTAGGTATTATCTGGAGGCGCAATACAGCAACTAGAGAAGAAACTAGAATAAGATTCTCACAGAAATGTGGAAAAATTACGTAACTAACAAACCAAATGAAACTTCAACCACTGATAATATAGTACTCAATAAACTGAAGCTCGGCGCTTTAGACGTTAAGACAGGACAGGACGTATTTGTGAAAAATGAAGAGACATAATTCAGAGGCATATACAAATTAGCCTTAAGTACTCTTTATTAAAAAGTCAGATTTCTTGCAGAAACATTTTAATGAAAATACAAAATCCTTATTAAAAAGGTATCTCTCAAATGGCAACAAAGGCATCATTGGTGTCTTAATGCACTTGGGCATTGCTTCACTTCAGTTGCTTCTGTATTGTTGAATTTTTTAAATAAAGATGAACCAGTAAGAACTTTGGTTTTCCATTTGTGTACAACATAGAACTGGGAACAAGTGCTACAATCTGTTCTCATGAATAAGTGTGATGCACGCTTCCAAACATTGGATGACTAGATAGAAATCTTCCTCCTCCCTTACATGGTTTCTAAGGATCTGCTCTCTACCGCTCCACCTGCCTGGATGGTTACCACATGCAAGTCTGAGGCAGTGATACGCTGTATTCTTGGTGCTTGGGGGGGGGGGCAACAGTGGGACGGCTTCTGGAGTCTGACCTGCTGGTGGACCTCCTGATGGGACCTGTTTTTTGCCCACTGTGTGACACGAGAGTGTTGGACTGGATGGGCCATCCATCTTAAGTTCTTAAGTTTTCCCCCCACCATAGCTTCCTCACAGCCCCTCTGTTTTGGGGAACATCTACACAATGCCATCTCATTTCTCCAAACATTGCAATCTTTCCCAAACCTGGTTTCGTGTGATCTTTTAGGGGAAAAAATCATAGTCAAAACACCTTTGGACATCATTTGGATTCAAACGTGCGCTTTGGGAGAACTGCAACCAGTGTTCCCTCTAAGCTGAGTTAGTGTGAGCTAGCTCACAGCTTTTTGGCCTCCAGCTCACACATTTTTGTCTCCGCTCAGGACGGAGGGCTCCAGAGCAAACTAATTTATGCAGTAGCCAAATCACCTGCTCACAACTTTAATGCCAGTAGCTCACAAAGTAGAATTTTTGCTCACAGAACTCCACAGCTTAGAGGGAGCATTGACTGCAACCCAAATCAACATTATTTCCCCAACCTCATCCCCTGCAGCCACCATAGGGTTGGTAGCTCTGAGCTGGAAAATACCTGGAGGTTTTGGGGGTGGAGCCAGGAGAGGGTGGGGTTTGGAAAGGGGAGGGGCCTCAGTAGGGTATAATGCCACAGAGTCCACCCTTCAAAGCAGCTATTTTCTCCAAGGGAACTGATCTCTGTCAGCTGGAGATCAGTTGTAAAAGCAGTAGGTCTCCAGGCCCCACCTGGCGGCTGGCAACCCTAGGCCACCATTCCCCCCCCCCCAAAAAAAACCCCAGTTGTTGTTAAATTGGTATAACAATCTACTGGAACAATGTACTAATTGCCCAGCTTTCATTTTTGAAAAAAAGTATCTAGCCTTTTTCACTACAGATTTATAAGGAGAAAGGTATAGACTGCAACTTCCATCTTATAACTACACACCTACACAATAAGGACTATAGACTTTTTTTTTAATGAAAGCTGGAAACTCATACATTGCTGCAATGGATTGTAGAGGAAACGTGTCTAAGAAAAGTGGGGGAACAACTGCTGTGTGGGTGCTCCACTGCCACTGCAAACGCCTCTGTATCTGCAGCAGTGTCAACAGTTATAGAGAGAAAGAATCATCTCCATGCAGAAGCAACTCTGGAGTTTTCTGCCTTTCTCTTACAGGTCACTTTCACAGGAGAAGAAAGAGGAGTCATTCTTGGCAGCCAGATCCCACATCAGAAAATTACTCTCTAGTAGGCAGAACTGTGCAGCTGCAGAATTGCTCAGTCTTGACCAGAAAACTGAAAATATGGCCAGGGAACCAATTTGAGGACTGGAGAATCAAGACGGTGGGAATTTAAATCACCTGTTGTATCCAGGGAACACAGTATAAATGGAGATCTGCGAGCCCTTTTAGGACCTCACGTCTCTCAAGGAACCTGGAGATTTGTAGCACGGCAATATTCAAATGAAGCTATTAGAGCTGTTTTCACCCAATGGTAGAGAAAGTGGATGGACGTAGAGTTCAGCCACGTACAGTTTAGTGGATTAATAGCCCTAAATAAAAAGGTGATCAACGTTGTTCACCCTGTGACATAGCTGTTGTCAGATGTTACTCTTCTGGGTCACCTTGTAGATGTTAATGTTCTCATTCTCATCCCTAAAGGCCAGCTTTGAGGTGAAGTGCATGGGGAGCAGCGTCTCAAAGAACAATACCGTACTATGCTCCTGACGCATCTTGGAAGACAGGTAGATCGTAGACTGAGGACCACACAGGTGCTGGAGAGTCCTGATCAGGGAGGGGTAAGTGTCCTTGAGATAGACAATATCCGCACCCAAGATGAAGTCATAGTCACTGGGAAACTCCACGTGGTCCAGACCCCATGACAGCGCACAAACTTTGGTCCGAGCCAGGCACCCGGCAGGCAAGTTTCGGTGGACGTTCTCCTCTATCTGCTTCAAGGCCACGGGAAGATCTGTGATGGTCACGTCTCCTCCTGGAGGAGAAGAGAAAACAGAAACTTAGCTGCTGAATTCTAATTTTGCATATGAATTACCCACAAGCAAGCAAATTTTATTAGGCATTCAGGGCCTCTGACTTTATGAAATATCCTTTTGTCCAGTGGCAGCTTTCTCCCAGGCTGCTTAAAGCTCTGCAGACTATAAGAAGAAGCCCAAACCAGCAGTTCCTCAAAAGCCCATTGGAGTCTTATCGTCTGTCTTTTTTTTTACATCTTATTTCTAGAGTATTTTCAATTGCAAGCCACCTCAAATACAATGGCAGAAATGCAATGTGTAACTGCGGTAAATCACAAAAAACATTAGTGCCCTCACACCCATTCCATACTCTACAGTAACAACAGCAATGTGTTATACATTAGTATGCACATTTTTAAAGCTCTGCTTTGTTTTGAAGCAGATATTGAGTTCTTGCAGAGCTGGAAATTTCTTTAAAGCTAGCAACAGGAGAGCAGGAGGACGGGTACATGAGATTTGGGAATGGATAAAAAAGTTGCTAGGTACATGAGTAGGTCAGGAATGTGCTTGGAGGTCATGGGGAAAATACCTGTGGGGCATACAGACAGTCCAACCTCCAAACACAATAGCCTTTGCAAACAGTGATGCAGTAAAATGGACACATTGACAAGAAAACTCAAAAATAAAGAAGAATGTTTTGCAGATTGGATGGACTTTAAAGAATACTTGGAGAAACATTGGGATGTTAAGAACAATCTACTTTGTTTTGATAATTATTAGGAATAGAACTCGGAAATAGTTGAATAGATGATGATTGTAGTTGAAGAAATTGTTACCTATAAAGTTGAATATATGATAAGAGTAGTTAAAGAAAATGTTACCTATTAAGTTTTGTTTTAGACGAAGTGATGGATAAGAAGAAGGAGGATTTGGTGGGGGTGGGAGCACTGTGGGAAGCCTGAAGAAGGGGAGGGCGGGCGTAGGGAAAAGAAAAAAAAAAAGAGGGTATATTGTGATTGGTGAAATGCTTTAACATTGGACATGTTGTTATATCCTGATAATAAAATGTTTTTAAAAAAGAAAAAGGAATGTGCTTGGAGATCATGGGGAAAATACCTGTGAAGCATACAGACAGTTCAACCTCCAAGCACAATAGCCTTTGCAAACAGTGATGCAGTGCAGACAGTGCTTCAAAACAGTTAAAGATCCCAAATGCACAGTGAAATACGTTAGCTTGCCCAGGCCTGCCCCCAAAGATCATGCACAAGGAGAAGACCTACTTGTCGCCTTGCAAGCAGAGACGCAAAGAAACAACCACTTATTTCCTCACTGCAGATGTTGCGCTTAACCATGGTCTGCAAATCCACTTCAAACCATGATTGTGTACCCTTTCATATGAATACTGAAACCTATGATTATGCAAAATTATTGCTAATTAAATACTGCTTTTCCTGAAATCATCAAAGCAATAAACAAAATAAACTCCAACTTACAAAAAATAAGTAAAAAATAAACAGCCACAAGACCACAGGGCTAGGGCTTCAACATGTACAGCCCTGAAGTTAGGCACTTCTTTGTTCCACTGAAGTCACTGGAACTTTAATTCTTAACTTAATACTTAAGTCCCAGTAATTTTAATGGGGCAGAGGTGTGCCTTGCTTTCCTTGTCCTGTGATTCCTGCAACATCAAGTCCACGAAAGCACAGAAATCTGCTTTCTGTAAAAGCAGAGAAACCCAAACCCAACATAGTCCTCCAAGGAATGCAGTATTTTGCCTCAGGCAACAGACTCTACATAAATTGACTTGAAGCAAACATTTCAGGTACCATCATCAAAGTTTAGCCTTCAGTAATTGGGATTTCCCCCAAGAATGGTGCCAAGAATTATAATAATTTAGCATTTCTATAATACTTCCAAATGTTCAAATTGCTCTTATGCACATTACCCTTAACAACAACCTGTAAGGTAGGCCAGTATATTGCAAATGTGAGGCCGAGGTTAAGGAAGCAGCTTGCCTAAGCCTGCTTAGCAAATATATGGCAGAGGTGAGATCTGAACATGGGTCTACCTGATTCATAGCTCTGTCTCCTAAACCAAGGGTCTCCAGTCTTTTTTTTTAGCCTGTGGGAACCTTTGGAATTCTGATACAGTATGATGGGCGCAACCACAACATGGCTGCCACAGGAGGTGGAACCATCCACACAACGGCTGGCACAGCTTATTTTCAGTCATACAGTGAAATTCCTCGTGTTGTGATAGCAGCTGCTGCCAAAGCAATGTTTTAAAAAATCTGCACAGGGAATCACACCTCCAACAGCCAATCAGAAGCCTTGCTGGACAAAAGCCCCACCTCACCCTGTCCACATGGTGGCCATGGTCACCCAGAAAGGTGTCAGTGGGCGCCATGGGCACCACATTGGGGATCCTTGTCCTAAACACTAGACCAACCCAGCTCATGTGTCACTGCACACTATCAACCACCTGCACATCATAGAAGACTGTGCACCACTTTAAAGTATCTGTAGTTCTGAAATGGCAAGATTTTAGCGTTATTGAAACAGGTAGTGTTTTTATAAGGAAAGCAATGCATGATTGGTGGATGCTGTGGGGTAACTGTATCATCAGAAATGTTCACAAACATTATTGCTTTTGGTTAAGCAATTCTACATACCAAGAAGGGCAACAAGGATGCCCACAATGCCAGTCCCAGCACCCAGTTCTAAAACCTTCTTGCCCCAGAAGTTCAGCTTATGCTCTTCAAAATAGTCACAGAGGGCTAGAGCCTTGGCCAGACATAACAGAGAAAGGCATATTAGAATGAATGAGACAATTCAAACAATATATTCAGCATCAGCAAATGTACAGGAATGACAGAATCCTTCATCTTTCAGAGTACAACAGGATCACATTCACCAATCTGGCTGTTCTTTAATGACCTGTGATGAAGGATTGTGCAAATTCCTTGGAAGTAAATTATATCAACTGATTTCACAATGCGGATGCCTGGACTAAATCAACAGTGCTGTGGCAAGAAAGGAAAAAATCTCTATAGAGAAAGAACAATCCACATTACAGAAACAGCAATACCACAGATATTAACTGCCTCATTTTAACATCAACAGATCTTTACCTTTCTAGGCATCAACACAAATAAGGATGCTACTTTTAGCAAAGTTTACTGCAACATGCCTAACATACTCTGTTACTTACTTCTCACTCTCTTTCCCAAACACAATCTTCTTTCAAGTAACTCAAAGCAATATTCATATTCATGTTTCCCCTTTCCAGTTTTATCCTAACAGCTTCTCTACAAGGTTGGTCAGGCTGTGGAAGAATGACTGGTCCAAAGTCACCAAGCAAGCTTCATGGTGTTTTGTGTGTGCAGGGGCTGAATCTAGCTCTACCAGAATATGGCTCAGTAACTACACTGCCACACTAGCTTTCTTTACCTTACATTCTGTCCTCCTCACCCCATTTATACCCCCTTGCCTTATTCCCATTTCTAGCACTATCACCTATCACTATCCAAGTGATCTTGCTTTCCTCCATTCCACAGTTTGGGGTTTTCTTTGCATCCCATAGCATACATTCACACCACCTTTATTTCCTGCTTTACATCAAGATTTTAAGCAGTGCTACAGCACTTACAGAAATATCTTGAGAAGAGGATTTTAAGAATACCTGTATGACATAACAGAGCAAACGATTGCTTTTAATACAACAATTTATGTTGGTTTTATCTGTGAGCTGCTTCAAGCAACCCTCTGGAAAAGCATATAAACAAACAATTGTCTCCCCATCCTACCTACGCCAAGGGCTTAAGCATGTCAATAAGAACCAGTGTGGTGTGGCTGTTGAGCTAGGAGAGCCTGGCAGGAAGTCCCTCTCTCTCGCAGCCAAGCCTATCTCAAAGGTCTGTTGTGAAGATAAAATGGGAGAGGGGTAATTTTGTACACCACCCTGAACTCCTTGGAGAATGGACAGGATAAAACGTGAAAAGCAGATACAGAAGCGTCTGATCATCCCAGTTCAGCCAAACTGCAATTTCTCTGCCCTTCCAGCAAACGTCAAAAAGCCGCCACCCCCAGCCTCACCGCCTCCCAGACCGGGGCAGCCACACCCAGACGGCTCCCGTGGTGCTGAACAATGCTCAGCTCGTGGCCACAGAGCCGGTAACGGGTCTCAGCCGTGAAAGCATCCGCAAACAGGCCAAGCTCCTGAGGGAATACCGACTCCAGCTCCACTTCCACGTCGCTGGCCACTCTGGGCGCCGCCATCTTACCGGAAAAACAACATCACCTGGGACTCCTGCAGGGGCGGGCGCAGTTTTCCCACTGCCATTGGTTATCAGGGCCGCAGCCTCTGAGAGGCCATTGGATGTCTCGGATGCCCTGGGAAAGACGACGGAGCTTGGCTGATGTTTTCCGCACGTGCGGGAGGACTCCCTTGTCCATTTCATGGGACCATAAAGCCGCAGGTGTCATTGGATAGCGGAGGTTAAAGAAGCAGCTTTGCCTTGTTCACCTGTGCGGCGCATGGGAGGAACTTCATGGCTTGTAGTTATAATTTTCTTTCTTTTCGCAGGGTCTTCCTTGATGCATTAGAGCAGGGAACGTTAAGCTCCTGAGAACATGGGGACCATCTGTTACTCAGATTTACATGATTAAAGGTAAAGGTAAAGGTTCCCTTGCTCGAAAGCCAGTGGAATCCGACTCTAGGGTTGCGGTGCTCATCTCCGTTTCAAAGCCGAAGAGCCAGCGCTGTCCGAAGACGTTTCCGTGGTCATGTGGCCGGCATGACTAAACACCAAGGCCCACGGAACGCAGTTACCTTCCCACTGAAGTGGTACCTATTTATCTACTTGCAATTTCTTGCTTTCAAACGGCTAGGTTGGCAGGAGCTGGAGCTAGAGATGGGAGCTCACTCCATCATGCGGCACCCAGGTCTCGAACTGCTGAACTACTGACCTTGCGTCTTTTGACAAATCGGTACTGGTACTGGAGGCAGCTAGCAGAGTACAATATTTATTTATTTATTTATTTGTTCGTTGCATTTATATCCCACCCATCCCGTAAATGGGCTCAGGGCGGGGTTACAACATTTAAAGAACTACAATAAAATTTAAAACACATTAAAACATATAAAATCGGTAGTCAGGCTTGCCGTAGGGAGAATCCATCCCATTGATGTAACTAGGTATGGCCGGTTATCATAGGTGGGAGATCACAACGTGGGAGGGGGCATATGTGGACGCCAACTGCCTCAGCCAAAGGTCTGGTGGAACAGCTC